AAAGCAGTTGTTCAGTTCGGTAACTTGTATTCACATTTCTTCCAGAGAAGTGGAGGTGGCCATTAAATGTAAAATAACCGTTATAACACAGTGTTGTTATATTTAATTTGTCAACATTTAAACAGCAATGTTAATAGTCTGTTTATTTTTTTTATGTTTTTTTGCATATCAGAAAAGCTGAAAATGGCATTTCAATTCACACAGATAAGCTTATTGATCTAGGTATTGACCTATATCAAATTATCTTTTGATGCATAATTAGAAATGATAGTTTGTACCGACGTAGAAATAAAACTTAAATTTAAAAAAAAAGTTAAAAGCAATAATAAAGAGTAAAAATCTTGATCATCTTAAATAACTGCAACAACAGATGAGTAAAGAGGGCAAGCAGTTTGGCTTGTATATCACAAATGTGTGCCCTGCCTCCTATATGTGAGGAAGGTAAAAACCCAAAGGACAAAAGACACACTTCTTGATAAGAATGTAAAACGGATTCTTTTAGCGTGTGCCAAAAGCTTTCTTTGTCCTTTGTCCCACAGATGTATTTTAGAGATATCCTTGGTGGTAAGTGGACTGGTTCTTATGTAGTGCTTTTCTATTCTAACTGAGCACTCAAAGTACTTTAATGCAACTTGTGCCATTTGCCCAGGCAAACAAACACTTTCTTCTATGTTTTTTTAATGAGTAGGTGCTTTCTGTCTAACATGTACACATATTCACATTTCAATGGGTGCACGGATGAGAAACTTGGAGCTAATATCTTGCCCAAGGATATTTGGCATGCAGCCTGGAGCAGCTAGGGATTAAACCACCAACATAGTAGGTGACCTGCTCTATCTATTCAGCTACAGCCACCCCAAGATGAGGAGTCAAAAATTAGTGAAATGAGAAAACCCTGTGGACTTTGCCTTTTCCTGCTCCTTACATGTAATGATTGCCCCACTGATTGCCTATATAGTCATGACAAATGACTCTTTAAGAATAAAGCCTTTGTTTAAATTTTGGAATTTTTCCTGATCTCCTGCCTAAAGTCGTTGGTGCCAAACAGAAATTTTATTGAGGGTAGCACTCAATAAAAAAGTCTCATGCTTAACAAATAATTAGAAACAGATGAATATTTGCCTTCATCTGTCCAATCATTCTCCATTTGTGGAGAGATAATGCTTTTAGAAAAGGGCTGAAAACTCTCAGTACTGCAGAGGTACAATACTTACTAAAGCCAAGTTTGCTCAGCAAGATAAAGGCTTTCTCTTGGGGTTTGTTCAGCTCAACATTTGGATCAATTAGACTCAGGTGTGATGTCCAGTATGTCCCTTTATCTCCTTTGTTTTGTTTGTGTTATTGACTTGTCAGTTTTGATCAGGCTGTGAGAAGTTTATCTATTACATGGCAACATTTACCACTGTGACTCAAAAAAGTTTTTATTTTTTGAGCTATTCATAGTTTGACTTTCTGACGCTTTGTGCATCACTTTCGTGCTGCACAATCCAAGTGTGCTTGAGCTTTAGGCCAGACACTGAAGGCTGGACGTTTACTTTCAGAATTGGCTGCTAGAGACCAGAATTCCTGGTTCCATCCTGCTTTGATACAGCAAGTCATCCATGACCAGTCAAGTAAACTCAGATCATCATATTACTGCAACCATTTGTGTTGGTATGATGTTCTTTTTATAAAATGTTATCTTAGTTTTATGCCAGATGTAATGAGAGTCAGCCCTACCAACAAGTTCAGCTTTTGTCTTGTCAGTCCACAGAATGTTTTCCTTGGATCATCAGGTATGAAATCACCACCTACTGACCAATCAATTTTCCAAAAATAATGTCACCATTCCTTGAAAAACCCTCAGGCCTCTGCAGGGAAAGTAGGAAGGGTTGTTTTTTAATAGAGTCTAGTATTAGCAGTGTAGCAGTGTAAAAGGCATATGCAGATTAAAATGAACTATTAGAAAATTTTATACACTTTTTAATCACCAAATTAATCCATGTCCATTCTTTTGACAGTGGAATGCATAGTTTGTGTTTCGTTCTGTGGTTTCAGTAAGGTAGACATAGGCTGCACATACAAGTGCACATAATGTACATAAATAGTTACGTATTTAAAAAGTTACCTGGAAAACCAAAATCCTGCTTTGTAGTACAGGCCTCTGGTCTGCACTCTTGTGTAAATGATGCTAACTAAATCTCTGAAGATTCCCTCACTTTTTCACTTAAAGTGTACATGTTTTAATGCT